TTTTGTTTTTTACGAAAAAAAAAAAAAAAAAAGAAGAAGATTTGTGAAAATATTTTCAATTAAACGGTGATGAAATATTTGAGTACTAAAAATGAATAATAACAATAAGGGGTGTTCATAAAAACCCGAAAAACCAAACCAAATCGAAAACCAAACCAAACCGATCAAAAAAATCGATACTTTTTTGTTTGGTTTTGAATTTTAAAAACCGATCAAATTTGGTTTGGTTTTAATCACAAAAAAACCGNTTTACCTTTACATTCTAATTTGATTGGTAGTTTTCTTTTGTTAAGTGTAAGAATCCATTTCGTGCTAAAACTAATATATTTTTAATTGACTCCTTAAATTATTCATCACTATTTGATTAAATTATCATCAATATATCTTGGTAAATAATAGATTTCTCAAAGGGCAATTGATTTGATAGTGTTACGTTGAAAATGTGGTCGTCGAAATATGTGTTTGGTAGTGTATGTCTTATATTTAAGAAAAAACCGACAAATAACCGAAAAATAGAAAACCCGACATAAACCGAATCGAGGAAAAACCGACTTAATTGGTTTGGTTTGGTTCTAATATTTGAAAAGCCGACTTACTTGGTTTGGTTTTTTTTAGGGAAAAATCGATCCAAACCGAACCATTAACACCCCTAATAACAATATATAGATGTTGGGCAAAGTAGTAATATAAAGTTTTGGTGATTTAATAAAGGAAAATAACATCGAATCATAAGTGTGAGAAGTATAGTAATTCTCTTCATTTGGTAGAATATGGCAAATATTTTACGTTATACCATACATAATGGACTCATAAAACATATATTTGAATATATTTTGATCTTAGGGTGTGCTTGATACGAAGGAAAATATTTTCCAATTTTTCCATGTTGCCTTAAATGTTTTGGAAAATATTTTTCTTATTAACTCATTTTTCTTATCAAGAGAAGGGAAAACATTTTCCAAAACTCCTTCTCAATCTTCCCCACCCTCACCAACCCAACCCAC